TCCCTTCTTCAATATACATTTGTAAACTCTGTGGATGTTGAGATTCATTATCATAATTCCCAACAAGAGTCTATATTTTTCTTTTTAAAATAGCGCAGGTTTTTTGAGACAAGTATTGAATATCACACACATGCTTATGTCATCATATTGTTCATTTTGCTAAATTCGTATCAGCTGATGGTGGATTTTAAGGCTGTACCCTTACCAATACCTTCAACAGTCATTTGTGTCAGTTTTATACAACTGAGATCTGAATCAGTGTTTTATCCTTAACATTCAGAACTTTTATAGAGCACTTTTAGTAGAACAATGGCCAGTGTATTATAGAACAGTTTTAAATGAACTGTAGGTGGTGCTATAGTTTTTGGTATAATATATTAATAACAAGAGGTTTTTGGGTTTTTTTACAGCATTTCCTCTTTTAAGTCTCTTCATTGATGAAGTAAATAAGCAGATTATCACTGGATGTGCAGATGGACAGGTAACAAGTGTATGCACATTCTGACTATTTGTAATTTACTATTATAACGTTAGATAGAAAATTCATATTGTTTGATTTACTGATAAGCCGGTTTAGGTCACAGCTCAATAGTACAGCACACACTTTCTATTGAAGAAATCTCAAATTAATTTATTTCCAAATGTGGTTGAGAAATCCCTTTTCCGCAACAATGTGGACACAATACTGAGGTAGAGAGATCTGCAGTCTAAGTATTGAAAAGTTAAATATGCATTTAGGGTGAGTTCCTGTTGACTCTGTGCACATTTCTTGACAAACAGAAGTAATTTACCATTACCTTCTTCCATGATGTTTTTTTTTTTTTTATTTCTTGGTCTCTTATAGCCTGGAATTCCCAAAATATCATTTATATATGGAAAATAATTCACTGCTATTTTCAATATTTAAATACTGTCTTCCAAGATAAATGTATTAATCTCTTGCATACACGGTGGTTGTTTATTTTCACTAATTTTATATTGCATTTATAAAAGGTCAATGGCAATGTCAGGAAAAGTGAATTAAGTTACTTCATGTGCACTTTATAAACCAGTCAAAATGAATAGTTATTTCCTTTATTCTTACTGTAGTTTGTCTAGCCCAAACTAAACTTTGAATAGAAAAAGTTGGTTGCCAAAGCATTGGTGAAGTTTAAGAAACTGAGAATTTATTTGTAATCATTTTATTGAAAAGATGTGGTATATGGTAACATGCTTACTACTGAATTGAGATAATAAAATTAAAAACATTATTTTTACAGTGATAAATGGAAAAGTAAGCTACAGTGATTGTATTTTTTTCTTTCAGCTGTGGATCTTCAGCTTGATTAGTGGTCATCAATATCGTTGTGTTGTTCATATTAATGTAAAGAAAGAGAGAAAGAAGTTTTACAACAAAACAACAAAGTTTGAACATTTGGGTAACCTAATATTGCAAAAACATTTTAAAATATTACTGGTTAGCTAATAATTTAAGTGAATATTTGTTCTTATTTAGAAGTTTTGATCAGAAGACATTAATTCTAATTTTCTAACATGAAATGTATTCATAATGCATGTAAACAAATTAAGGACAATTCAGAAATTAAGAAATTTCTTGAAATATCCTTGCAATATGTTATTTAAATTTGTTATGCCAGTATTACCAGAGCATGAGGTCAGTGAAGATGGCATGGTAGGTGAGGGACAGATACGTGCTTCACTGAGTTTATACCATATTTTCTGTTCCAAAATGGAAGCTAAACTTTACATTGCTCCAAAACTACAAATAAGAAATGTGGTATATCTCACTGTAAAATAACTGAAAATCTCACCACAGAAATTGTCCAATGAATCCATCCTTAATTAAATTTATAAACAGATTTCTTTTAGTTTTCACGGAATATCTTAGTAATCTATTTCAGGCACAATCATGTCTCTGCATTTTCCAGATCAGATTCAGAATATTTCTCAGACATATACTCCAAATGATATAGAAGAAGAAGATATGGTTGAAACTACCTTTCCAATCCTTAGAATTGAACACTGTGACAAGCCAGCAAATTTTGGTGATGAAGAACCTAGGTGAGTGGGTTCTTCAGCTGAAGCACAGGCAATAAATGTTACAATAACTGTAAAAGGTATTGTGATGATTAAATAATATAGAATAACAAAGCTTTTAATAAAAAATATGCAAATTATAAATCAGACAAACCACTTAAAACAGAGAAAAATCTCATCTTGCATTCTGAGGTATATCACTGTTTGAATTGTATTACAGTTAGGCACACAGCCACCCTGATTCTCCTGTCCTTCCCCTGCTGTGATCATTAATTCTAGGTAATTCTTTTGAAATGTGAAGCAATTATCAAAAAAGAGATTTAGATGTTTTTTGGAAGTGGGCTGCAGATCCTAAATGTTAGAAACTCTATCTGTATATAATTTCCAGTTCACATAGTAAATTATACCCTTTGGATAAAAGCCATGACATGTAAAAATGCCATATTATGTCTGAAATGATGATACTTGAGGATTTTTTTAAAAGTACATTTTCTTTGTTTTAATGTAGTTTTCATGATGTGAGTGCCCATTATTTGTGGCTAGGAAGCTCTACTGGTTTATTCATAATTAACACAGCAAACTTTGAGTTGGAAGCTGCTTTACATTACAAAGGTACTATATATTTATTTATTAAAGATAATCAGTACTTTGTTTTTCCTCTCTTTTAATAAATAAATTTTACTTTAACTTCACATATGGAAGACTTTGATTTCTGTTTCTAGTGAACGATATGCAGATAAGCAGTCTATTAACATTTATTTGTTTTTTTAATTTTTGATTATTGCACTATAAATATATTAATTTGTTTCCTCTCAGACATGTTGAAATTAATAATTTGTCTATTGTTTCAAAACACATGTAAGAAATGAAATGGATTCAGTATCTCATCATTGTTATAGTGATTTTTGTTTGTTTGTTTTATTTATGTATGGGTCCATGTGAAGATTTCAGTGGTCTTAGTATTCAGATTGCTGGATCATGTGCTTTAATGAGGAAGGCAGTCAATGGTAAGGTGAGAAAAGTTTTGATTTTCAAATATTCAAGACTATCTCTTCTAATTTAAAAACTGTAGATTAATTAATTTTATTTTATTTATGGAGTGATTTATATTGCTTCAAATTAGCTGACCCTTAAGTGGTTTACAAGTACACATAATAAAAATAAAAATTAGAATGAAAATACATCTTTCTACAATGAATATATCATCCAACAATACAGTTTTCAACAGACCTAATGTTTTACAGCATCAGTCTGAGCCCAAGACTTTCAGCAATTCCATTACCTGGCTCGAGACTTGAGGCTGGAGGGCTAAAAGTAGAAAATGGCTGCAAACTTTCCGATCTCTTTTCCCCTGTAATAACATACCCTTGCCTCCTATCATGTTATCTCTGCCCATCAGTACTGTAATTCACCCCTCCCAACTATGCTCCCTCCTGGCTACTCCAACAGCCTTCCCCCTCAAACTTCCTTTGAGACTCTCCACTGACATAGACATCATCTTCTGACCAAAGCAATAACATACACCTTTAAAATAATTCCACGCTCATAGCCGACAATTAACCTACCCACTCCCCCAGTATCTTCACCAACACCAATTCACAAGCTCTCTCCATAGACCCCTCTACCCAACTCTCACCTAGACTAGAAGTTAGTTCTCCTCCCCCTCCCTGTTCTCTCAGTACAGGAAGAGCCTGTACTTCCTCTTTGGTCTGTGTTTCTCGTTCTTGGACCAAAGTTCAACCATTTCACCCTCCTATCCATCTTCCCAGTTATCACTCCAGTGTCCTGAACTCTAGCTACTCAAGCACTGTAACATTGGGTGTGACCCTTCTGATTTGTCCTCCTTGCCTCCACCTGCTCTAAAGCAAATCCTATCTGTTCCCAGTTATAAAACCTCTTTGCCTGATCTTTCCACCTTCTCTCTCCTGCTGTCTTGGCACAATTCTCTGGAGACCTCCCTCCCTCTGATCTCTCAGTGGCTATAAATCCTTCCCCTATCATTGCTGCTCCAACTCTTGCCTCTCATACCAAACAAATCCACTCATCCACAGCAACAGCAAGTGCAATTACTTAGTCACTCAGTTCTTTGGTGTTGTACTTGCTTGCCTCCAGTCACCCAATGTGGCATAGCATTGCAAGGCCTGCCTGCTCTCCCTCCAGTCTTCTTCAGTGAGCAGGGAAGAGCACCCACCTTCCCTCTGATTTCTACATCCAGCTCCAATTTTTTCTTTAATTACTATTCTTTTCCTCAATGCTCAGTCTTCCACATTCAATCCTCTTCAATACTATCATCCCCCTCTTATTAGGATTTTCCCAGGAATAAAATTCTAACCTGATAATACAAAGTACTAACAGCCTAATCTAGCATTCTCCCCCAAGCTAAAATACACCATCACATTTTGGTACAACCTTTTATATATTAAAGGAATATTTCATTTTTTAAAAAAACATTGCTCATTTAATGGCAGTCAGGGAACCTTTCTGATGTTTGGATTCCTAGAAGTCCCCAGCCATCATGACTATTGCGGAGGATACTGGAGGCTGAAGTCCACTTCTCTAGAAGTTGCCAAGATTGGGAAACATGACTATAGAGTACCAGATGTTAGTCACATGGTAGAGCTAGGTAATGATAGCAATGCAAATGCCCATGAGTCATTATAATCTAACACTGATTATGTTATAATTATTATATTATACTATTATAATCAAGGAAAGATTTGTCTTGCTGAGTTTTATTTTCTACAATTATTCTGGGTCCAACACAGGTATCTTTCCAATCCTTGTTCTCTAAAATGTGTGTGTGTGTATATATACACATACAGTACTGTGCAAAAGTTTTAGGCAGTCATGAAAAAATGCTGTAAAGTAAGATGCTTTCAAAAATATATATTGTAATTGTTTATGTATCAATTTACAAAATGCAAAGTGAGCAAACAGAAGAGAAATCCAAATCAAATCAATATTT